CTATGTCTCTGTTTTGGTACTAGTACCATGCTGTTTTGATTACTGTAGCCTTGTAGTATAGTTTGAAGTCTGGCAGTATGATGCTTCCAGCTTTGTTCTTTTTGCTTAGGATTGTCTTGGCTATGTGGGTTCTCTTGTGGTTCCATAGGAAATTTAAAGTGGTTTTTTTTTCCAGTTCTGTGAAGAAGGTCATTGGTAGCTTGATGGGGATAGTGTTGAATCTATAAATTACTTTGGGCAATATGGCCATTTTCACTATATTGTTTCTTCCTAACCATGAGCATGGAATGTTTTTCCATCTGTTTGTGTCCTCTCTTATTTCGTTGAGCAGTGGTTTGTAATTCTCCTTGAACAGGTCCTTTACATCCTTTGTTAGTTGTATTCCTAGGTATTTTATTCTCTTTGTAGCAATTGTGAATGGGAGTTCACTCTAGATTTGTCTCTCTTTTTGTCTGTTATTGGTATATAGGAATGCTTGTGATTTCTGCACATTGATTTTGTATCCTGAGACTTTGCTGAAGTTACTTATCAGTTTCAGGAGATTTGGGGCTGAGACGATGGAGTCTTCCAGATATACAATCATGTCATCTGCAAATAGAGACAGTTTGACTTCCTTCTTTCCTATTTGAATACCCTTTATTTCTTTTTCTTGCCTGACTGCTCTGGCTAGAACTTCCAATATTATATTGAATAGGAATGGTGAGAGAGAGCATCCTTGTTTAGTGCCTGATTTCAAAGGGAATGCTTCCTGCTTTTGCCCATTCAGTATGATATTGACTGTGAGTTTGTCATAAATAGCTTTTATTATTTTATGATATGTTCCATCGATACCTAGTTTATTGAGAGTTTTTAGCACGAAGGACTGTTGAATTTTGTCGAAGGCCTTCTCTGAATCTGTTGAGATAATAATATGGTTTTTGTCTTTGGTTCTGTTTATGTGATGGATTATGTTTATGGACTTGTGTATGTTGAACCAACCTTGCATCCCTGGGATGAAGCCTACTTGATTGTGATGAATGATCTTTTTGATATGCTGTTGCATTCAGTTTGCCAGTATTTTATTGAAGATTTTATCATCTATGTTCATCATGGATATTGGCCTGAAGTTTTCTTTTTTTTGTTGAGTCTTGCCAGGTTTTGGTATCAGGATGATGTTGGTCTTATAAAATGAGTTAGGGAGGATTCTCTCTTTTTGTATTGTTTGGTATAGTTTCAGAAGGAGTGGTACCAGCTCCTCTTTGTACGTCTGGTAGAATTTGTCTGTGAACCCAGCTGGACCTGGGCTTTTTTTGGTTGGTAGGCTATTAATTGCTGCCTCAACTTCAACCCTTGTTATTGGTCTATTCAGGGCTTCAACTTCTTCCTGGTTTAGTCTTGGTAGGTAGAAGTGTCCAAGAATTTATCCATTTCTTCCAGGTTTACTGGTTTGTGTGTGTAGAGTTGTTTGTAGTAATCTCTGATAGTAGTCTGTATTTTTGGGGACTCAGTGGTGATATCCCCTTTATCATTTTTTATTGCATCTAATTGATTCTTCTCTCTTTTTTTTTTTTTTTTTATTAGTCTGGCTAGCAGTCGATTTTGTTGATCTTTTCAAAAAACCAGTTCCTGAATTTATTGATTTTTTCAAGGTTTTTTTGTGTCTCTATCTCCTTCAGTTTGGCTGTGATCTTAGTAATTTCTTGTCTTCTGCTAGGTTTTGAGTTTTTTTGATCTTGCTCCTCTAGCTCTTTCAATTTTGGTGATAGGGTGTTGGTTTTAGATCTTTTCCTTGTTTCTCATATGAGCATTTATTGCTATAAATTTCCCTCTCAACACTGCTTTAAAGGTGTCCCAGAGATTCTGGTAAGTTGTGTCTTCATTCTGATTGGTTTCAAAGAACATCTTAATTTCTGCCTTCATTTCATTGTTTATACAATGGACACTCAGAAGCAAGTTGTTCAGTTTCCAATAGTTGTGCAGATTTGAGTGAGTTTCTTAATCCTGAGTTCTAATCCAATTGTGCTGTGGTCCGATAGACTGTTTGTTTTGATTTCCATTCTTTTGCATTTGCTGAAGAGTGATTTGCCTCCAATTATGTGGTCAATTTTAGAGTAAGTGCAATGTGGTGCTGAAGAAGAATGTATATTCTGTGGATTTGGGGTGCAGCGTTCTGTATATGTCTATTAGGTCCGCTTGGTCCAGCTCTGCATTCAAGTCCTGGATGTTGTTGTTAATTTTCTGTCTTGTTTATCTGTCTAATATTGATGGTGGAATGTTGAAATCTCCCGCTATTACTGTGTGGGAGACTAAATCTCCTTTTAGGTCATTAAAAACTTGCTTTATGTATCTAGGTGCTCCAGTGTTGGGGCGTATATATTTAGGATATTTAGCTCTTTCCATTGGATTGATCCTTTTACCATTATGTAATGCCCTTCTTTGTCTCTTTTGATCTTTGTTGGTTTGAAGTCCATTATATCAGAGACTAGGATTGCTACCTCTACTTTTTTTTGTTCTCCATTTGCTTGGCAAATCTTCTTCCATCCCTTTGAGTCTATATGTGTTGTTGTATGTGAGATGGATTTTCTGAATATAGCACACCAATGGGTCTTGACTTTTTATCCAGTTTACCAGTCTATGTCTTTTGATTGGGGCATTTAGGCCATTTACATTCAATGTTAAAATTGTTATGTGTGAATTTGATCCTGCCATTTTGTTACTGGCTGGTTTTCTTGCCCATTAGTTGACTCAGTCTCTTCATTGCATATTTGGTTTTTGCCATTTGGTGTGCTTTTGCAGTGGCTGGTATTTGTTCCTTTCTGTTTAGTGTTTCTTTCAGGAGCTCTTGTAAGGCAGGTCTGGTGATGATGAAATCTCTCCGTAATTGCTTGTCTATAAAGAATTTTATTTCTCCTTCACTTATGAAGCTTAGTTTGGCTGGATATGAGATTCCGCATTGAAAGTTCTTTTCCTTAAGGATGTTGAATATTGGCCCCCACTCTCTTCAGCTTATAGGGTTTCTGCTGAGAGATCTGCTGTGAGTCTGATTGGCTTCCCTCTGTGGGTGACCTGACCCTTCTCTCTGGCTGCCCTTAGCATTTTTTCCTTCATTTCAACCTGGTGAATCTGACGATTATGTGCCTTGGGGTTGCTCTTCTTTGTGGAGTTGTCTGTATTTCTTGGATTTGAATGTTGGACTGCCTTGCTAGGCTGGGGAAGTTCTCCTGGATAATATTCTGGAGTGTATTTTCCAGCTTGGATTCATTCTCCCTGTCATTTTCAGGTACACCTATCAAGCATAGATTATGTCTTTTCACATGATCCCATATTTCTTGGAGGCTTTGGTCATTTATTTTCACTCTTTGTTCTCTTGTCTTCTCTTTATTACATTGAGTTGATCTTCAATCTCTGATTTCCTTTCTTCTGCTTGATTGATTCAGCTATTAAAACTTGTGTTTGCTTCACATAGTTCTTGTGCTGTGTTTTTCAACTCCATCAAGTTGTTCATGTTCTTCTCTAAGCTGGTTATTCCAGTTAGCATTTCGTCTAACCTTTTTTTCAAGGTTTTTAGTTTCTTTGCATTGGGTTAGAACATGTTCCTTTAGCTCAGAAAAGCTTGTTATTACCCACTTTCTGAAGCCTGTTTCTGTCAATTTGTTGCACCCTTTCTCAGTCATGTTGTGTTCGCGTATTGATGAGGAGTTGTGATCCCTTGAAGGAGAAGAGGTGTTCTGGTCTTTGATGGTTTCATCTTTTTTGTGCTGTTTTTTTTCCTGGCTTCATGGATTTATCTATCTCTGATCTCAGGGAGCTGCTTGATGAAGTCACTTGTCTGCCTATCGAGGTGGGTTTCCAGGAACTCCTTCAGGTTACCAGGTAGGCTTCCTGTGTCTTTTTTGTTCACACTGGGAAGTTAGGCCTGCCTCTTCTGCTGACCTGGAGGTGCTGCTGGGTGGTCAAGAACACCGCCCTGTTGCTACGTAGGCTTCCTGTGTTCTCTGTTAAAACATGAAGCCTAGTCCCACCTCTTTAATGGTGGGTTGTGCTTTTGCTCCACGGAGCTGGATCATTCAGGGTTCAGCTGAGACTAAGCCACTGGCTGCGTAACCTGCTAGAGTTAGTGCTTCAGCCCTCTGGGGTTTGTGGGGGAGAGTAGGGATCCACCCTGCTGCACCGTCTATCTCCCCACTTTCAGCTCCCTGTCTCTCTCCAGGTGGCGGAGAGGGGCGATAGCTCAGTCTTCAGGCTCTTCCAGTGAGCTTATGGGCTTATGTGTTTGCTTAGATCTGGGCAACAATCCGGGACACATTCCTGGATTATTATTCAACTCTGCACTTGTAATTCACAGCGCTTGACTGGCAAAGATCCCCTGTTCTGTGGATTTCTGAGGCTTTGGGGAAAATGCTATATCTGGACCGGGGTGCTGGAGGGGAAGCCTCCAACTCACTGGTCAGAGGCACTTTCTGGGTGAAGCAGCACCCCTCCCTGCCTTCCGTCTGCCCTATCTGGGCTTTGCTCACTATCTGACCAGACCTGTTGAAATGTACCTGGTACTTCAGTTGGAGCTAGGAGATCTCTTGATTTCTGCGTCTCTCTTGCTAGGTGTTGTGCACTAGAATTGTGTCTATTCAGCCATCTTTTTTCCTCTTCTTTTTTTTTTTTTTAATGAGACGGGACCTCACTTTGTCGCCCAGGCTGGAGTGCAGTGGCACTATCTTGGCTCACTGTAACCTCTCTCTCTTAGGTTCAAGCAATTCTCCTGCCTCAGCCTCCTGAGTAGCTGAGATTACAGGAACCTACCACACCCGGCTAATTTTTGTATTTTTACTAGAAACAAGATTTCACTATGTTGGACAGGCTGGTCTTGAACTCCCAACATCCAGTGATCTGCCCATCTTAGCCTCCCAAACTGCTGAGATTACAGGTGTGAATCACTGCACCCAGCCAAAAAGAGGATTTTAAGAAGAAACTTTCAAAGTTTGGCTAAGGCTGGAATTCATCTGTTCGCTATATTCTCCATGCAGGCCTCCTGGCCATCCTCATCCCCCGCCTGGACCTGGTCCTCTCCCTGGTGGGCTCCGTGAGCAGCAGCGCCCTGGCCCTCATCATCCCACCCCTCCTGGAGGTCACCACCTTCTACTCAGAGGGCATGAACCCCCTCACTATCTTCAAGGACGCCCTGATCAGCATCCTGGGCTTCGTGGGCTTTGTGGTGGGGACGTACCAGGCCCTGGATGAGCTACTCAAGTCAGCAGACTCTCTCCCCTTTTCCAACTCCACCACTTTTATTCAGTGAGCATGGCACTGCTCCTTGCCCCTTTTAATGAAACGGATCTCTTTTTTTTTTTTTCTTGAGATGGATTTTTGCTCCTTGGGCAATGATGAAGCCTCGGCTCATCACAGCCTCCACCTCCCAGGTTCAAGTGATTCTCCTGCCTCAGCCTCCTGAGTAGCTGGGATTACAGGCATGTACCACCAGGCCCGGCTACTTTTTGAATTTTCAGTAGAGATGGTGTTTCTCCATGTTGGTCAGGCTGATCTCGAACTCCCGACCTCAGGTGATCCTCCCGCCTCTGCCTCTCAAAGTGCTGGGATTATAGGCATGAGCCACTGTGCCCAGCCGGATCTCTTTTATATGCATTATCTTTATGTCACTGCTTTACCTTTCATCTGGGCCAAGTCATGATGAAACAAGAAAGGACTCTCCAGCTACAAGCTCTAAATGGTAATTTTTTTTTAACTTTATTTTGTTTATTTCTTCTTCTTTTCACCTGTGGCATTCCACTACATTGTGAGCTTTGCCTTGGAAGGCTCTGGATTCTATCCTACCTTATGATAATTGGCACAGTGGATTTCATACCTAGCGTGGAAGTATGCAAGAAGAAGCCACCAGAGGGCCCCAAGTGGCAGCAACTGGCAGAAGGAAGTGCAGCCAGCTAAGACTGTCCACACTTTGGCAGACAATAGGTTTTCCCTTTTCTGGATCTGTTCAAACAGCAAACACTAAGAGTGGGTACATAATCCACAAGCCAGAAAGTTGTACATGGCTCCAGTGTTGAGGTGGGTAAGGCCAAGATGACCAGTATGAAGAAACTCAGATAGAAAGGAGCCACGCATGTTAAGTTAGAGGCAACAAACATTTCAAACCATTAGAGAATATTTTCTCCCAATTTGAAGATCCCAACCATGAGTAGGAGGCATGGAAGTAGATGTGCCCATGGGAGGGATGAGAGGTGAACATGAAAATTATTTGAATAGACTTTACTTCTTTTTTTTTTTTTTTTTTTTTTTTTTTTTTTGAGGCAGAGTCTCATTCTGTTGCCAGGTGCCAGGCTGGAGTGCAGTGGCACAATCTCGGCTCACTGCAACCTCCGCCCCCTGGGTTCAAGCAATTCTCCTGCCTCAGCCTCCTGAGTAGCTGGGACTACAGGCACGAGCCACCACGCCCAGCTAATTTTTGTATTTTTTAGTAGAGACAGGGTTTCACCGTGTTGGCCAGGATGGTCTCGATCTCTTGACCTCGTGATCCACCCGCCTTGGCCTCCCAAAGTGCTGGGATTACAGGCTTGAGCCACCGCGCCCGGCCCGACTTTACTTCTTAATTCTTGCACATGCATTCTTCATTACCTACTGTGTGCCAAACAAGATTTTGTAGAATATTGCAAAAATGTCCATAAATTCCTCTTGATAATGTGACTTTGCAGCTGCTCCTATGAAGAGAAGAAGTCTATATCTCTATGCCTTAAATTTGTGTTTGTTCTCTCTCCCTCTCTCTTTTTTTAAATGGAGTCTTACTCTGTTGCCCAGGCTGGAGTGCAATGGTGTGATCTCAGCTCACTGCAATCTCCACCTCCCAGGTTCAAGCAATTCTCCTGCCTCAGCCTCCCAAGTAGCTGGGATTACAGGCACCTGCCACTACGCCCAGCTAATTTTTGTATTTTTAGTAGAAACAGGGTTTCACCATGTTGGCCAGGCTGGTCTGGAACTCCTGACCTCAGGTGATCTGCCCTCCTCAACTTCCCAAAATGTTTGGATTACAAGTATGAGCCACCATGCCTGGCCTCTTCCCTTTAAATTTGATCCTGACCTTATAACTTGCTTTGGCCAATGGACATTAGTAAATGTGATGAAGTCAGAGGTTTGGTAATGTCTGTGTATCAGGACTTGCATCACTTGCTGCTCTGTGGAGTTGAGGCCACCAAGTAAAGAAGCCTGGGCTAGCCTACCAGAGGATCAGAGACCATGTGGAACACAAATGAATGATCCAAGTTGAGCCCTGTCCACAGATCAGCCAGCCTGCCAACTTCCAGACACATGAGTAAAGCCTTCCTAGACTATATCCAACCCCAGTCAGGCTGACCCAGACCATAAGAACTGTACAAATAATTCACAGAACTGTGATAAATAATAAAGATGTTTGTAATTTTAATCCATAGAGAGTGGAAGGTTTTATGCAGCAAAAGATAACTAATACATCATTCTAAAGAGGATACACTGATTAATGAGAAAAGAATCCCTGCTCTCAAGCAGCCAGTCTGCTGTCCATTGGGGAAGAGTAACAGGTAATCAGCTAAGTAAGTACCATCATGCATCCATCTCAGGGTGAAGGACACTGCCTGCTCTGGAGCACCAAGGAAGACTTTCCACAGGTAATGCCATTTGAGTGGGCTTTGAGTAGAACTTGAGTCTTCTAGGACTGAGTCTGAACCTCCTTCCACTCTGTTCTGCTGCCTGGACATTACTGCACCTATGCTTCTGTCTGATCTTGGCTGGTAGCCAGGGGCAAGCCAACCTGAGACATCACCTCAGTCTTTCTAGTGGTGACTGCTCTCTCTCCTCCCCGCAGAATTACTAAAGTTGAGAAAATGCACCTAGATAACTAAATAGATGTTAAAGATCTATAGTCCCAAAAGATAGGGAGAGGAGAGGTTCCCAACATACTCGCTGTGGTTTATGAATAATCTACACCTGGTTCAGCCTCGGTGTTAAGAGAACATTTGAAAAAACCCTGTCCTGCTTATTTTCATCCTTCATCTTCCCTGTGCCCCCAAGTTCCCAAGTTCTAGTCTGCTCTTTCTGTATGTTACTTTCTCTCTGCTGGACTTCCAAAAGCTACTTCATGAGCACAAGTCCACTCAGATGGAGGAAAGGCTGGTGGTCCACACCCAGATCCCATAGCCTTTAGAGTTCCTGTTGGGCAATAGGACACCCGGAACCTGTGCTGAGGTCCACAGTCCACTGCCAGAGGATGGGTTGTCATTTCCACCTTGAGCATTGTTTCATCAGCAAACCCAAAGGACTTCCGCTGATCCATTCTAAGTGTTGGCAACATTATCATCCTCTCTGGAAACACTTCTCTCCCCCCCTGCTCCACTATCAATCACCCCACCCATCCTTGAAGTTTAAGGTTATCTTCTCTGTTATTAAAAAAAAGAAAAAGGATGAGTTCATGTCCTTTGCAGGGACATGAATGAAGTTGGAAACCATCATTCTCAGCAAACTGACACAAGAACAGAAAAACAAACACGGTGTGTTCTCACTCATAAATAGGTGTTGAGCAATGAGAACACATGGACACAGGGAGGGGAACATAACACACCAGGGCCTGTTGGGGGCTGGGGGGTAAGGGAGGGCTAGCAGGGGGTGGGGTAATTGGCAGTTACAGCACTATAGGCAAGTGCCATCATGCTTGGTTAATTTTTTAAGTTTTGTAGAGATGAGGTCTCACTATGATAGTGTATACCTCACAGGGTCGTTGTAACTATTAAATTGGATTACCTGATTTCAAATTATACCACAAAGATATAGTAACCAAAACTGCATGATACTAACATAAAAACAGACATATAGAATAATGGAACAGAATAGAGAAGCCAGAAACAAATCCATACACTTACAGTGAACTCATTTTTGACAAACTCATTTTTTTCCCAAGAACATACACTGGGAAAAAGAGAGTCTTTTCAATAAATGCTGCTGGGAAAACTGGATATCCATATGCCAAAGAATGAAACTAGACCCCCCATCTCACCGTATACAAAAATCATATCAAAATGGATTACAGACTTACATCTAAGATATCCAACTATGAAACTACTGTAAGAAAACATTGGGGAAAATCTCAAAAACATTGGTCTGGGCAAAAATATCTTGAGTAATATCCCACAAGCACAGGCAACCAAAACAAAAAGGACAAGTGGGATCACATCAAGTTACCTTCTGCGGCCATGTATAGGGGCTTAGACCTTTATTCCTAGCACTTTGGGAGGCTGAGGTGGGCAGATCACTTGAGCCCAGGAGTTTGAGACAAGCCTAAGCAACATGGTGAATCCCCATCTCTACAAAAAAGAGAAAAATTAGCTGGTTGTGCTGGTGTGTGCCTATAGTATCAGCTACTCCGGAGGCTCACCTGAGCCTGGGGAGGTCAAGGCTACAGTGAGCCATGATTATGCCACTACACTCCAGCCTGGGTGACAGTGAGATCCTGTCTCAAAAAGTAAAATAAAAAGAATCTCTGCACAGTGAGGGAAGCAATCAACAAAGTAAAGAGACAACCCACAGAATGAGAGAAAATATTTGCAAACTATTCATCTGAAAAGGGATAAATGACGCAAATATATACGGAGCTCAAACAACACTATTGAAAAAAATCAGCCAGGCATGGTGTCTCATGCCTGTAATCCCAGCACTTTGGGAGGCCAAGGTGGATGGATCACCTGAAGTCAGAGTTGAAGACCAGCCTGGGCAACATGGTGAAACGCTGTCTCAACTGAAAATACAAAAACTAGCCTGGGTTGGTGGTGCACACCTGTAATCCCAGCTACTCGGGAGACTGAGGCAAGAGAATCACTTCAACCTGGGAGATGGAGGTTGCAGTGAGCCGAGATCATGTCATTGCATTCCAGTCTGGACAACAAGAGTAAGATTCCATCTCAAAAAAAAAAAAAAAAAAAAGGAAGAAAGAAAAAATATAATCCAATCAAAAAATGGGCAAAATATTTGAATAGACATTTCCCAAAAAGAAGACTACAGATGGCAAATAGACATAGGAAAAGGTGTTCAACATCATTGATCATCAAAGAAATGCAAATCAAAACTACAGTGAGATTTTATTTTAATACCTTAGTTAAAATGGCTTATATCCAAAAGATAGGCAAGGATGTGGAGAAAAGGGAACTGTCATATAAGTATTGGTGGGAATGTAAGTTAGTATGGCCACTATGGAGAAAAGTTTGGATGTTCCTCAAAAAATTGAAAATTGAGCTACTCTATGGTCCAGCAATCTTACTGCTAGGTATATACTCAAAAGAAAGGAATTCAGTATATTGAAGAGATATCTGCACTCCTACGTTTTACAATAGCCAGCATTTGGAAACAACCTAAGTGTCCACCAATAGATCAATGGATAAGGAAAATGTGGTACATATACACATTTGAAGTGTGTATAATGGAGTACTATTCAGCCATAGAAAACAATGAGTTCCTATCATTAACAATATCATAGATGGAACTGGAGATCAATATGTCAGGTGAAATAAGCCAGGCACAGAAAGACAAACATCACATGTTCTAATTTATTGGTGGGATCTAAAAATCAAAACAATTGAACTCATGGACATAACAAATAGAAGAATGGAAAGGAAGTGGGCATGGTTAATGGGTACAAGGAAATGGAATGGAGAAGACATACTATTTGATAGCAAAACAGAGTGACTATAGCCAATAATAATTTAATAGTACATTTTAGAGTAACTAAAAGAGTATAATTGGATTGTTTGTAACACAAAGGATAAATGCTTAAGGGAATGAGTATCCCACTCTCTATGATATGCTTATTTCACATTGTATGCCTGTATCAAAATGTCTCATGTACCCCATAAATATATATATCTACTATATATCTCCAAAATTCAAAAATTAAAACATGAAAAAACCCAAAATAGAGAATAGAAAAAAATGTGACCAGTGAATTACAATTTTTTTTTGAAATTTGAAATCCAACAACCCCTCTACAAATAAGAAATCAGCATGAAATGAGGAAGGAGTCTGGAGGCTGTATGGTGAATCGGGGCAAAGCAGGCTGTCACTGACTGCCTACCTTACTACCTGATGCTATTTAAACTCTCCCAGGGTGCAGAGAGAGAAGAAAATCTGCCCTTTTTTTTTTTTTTATACAAAAGGGTCCTTATTCTGATACCAAAATTGAACAAAGCACATGCAAAAATTATGACCACATTAAATATGAATGCAAGCATCTTCCTTATTTATTGTAGATTATTGTGCTGTCAATGAATACTAGCATCTTAGAACAATAGCAATCAGAACCTGATAATGTATTTTAAAAGAACAGGATGCCATGGAGATTTCCCAAATCCCAAAATGATTTAATACTAACAAATCCATTACCATAGCTAACATTTAAGATTCAGGTGGGCAGGGGGAATGGTCACTTATAGATTCTGAGAAAAAGCTTTAATGAAATTTCATGATACAGTCCAAATTTTCAAAGAAGCTTCAATATTATAAAATTACAAGGAGGAAGAAAGTGATCTCAACATAAGCATTGTAGTTAACAAGAAAATACTGAGAGGGGTTGAAAAATAAAGCACGAGAGTAGAAAAGGGTTTGGTGTCACTATGCTATTGCCTGGAAAGCACTAGCGAATCAATCATACGCTGTTAGCAGCAAAAGGACTCAGTGACGTGGACAGTAACAAAACGAAATCTGTAAAATTATTGTCTTTCCTGCATACTAATAATCATCAAGAAGTAAAATTGGAAGGGAGGGGTCGAAGTCACATACACAGTAGCAAAAGAAAACAAAAATATCTAGAAACATATATTTTAATGTGCTCTATTTTTGTGAAAAAATTAAGCTCTGAGGCATAAATCAAGACTTGCATAAACATAGAGTCATAACATACTTTAGATGGTAAACCTCAGTATTGTAAATATGGTCATTTTGAGCAATTTAATTAATCAATTTAATGTTACCTCAATAAAATGCTCAACTAGAGTTCCTGGGAGGGAGGAGGAACTTGGCAAATTCATCCGGAAGAATTAATGTAGGTGGGGTGGGGAGGGAAATTGTGAAAAAGATGAGGAAGGAGAGTGGATCTTCTCTATCAGATATTAAGTATGTTGCACAGTATCGTAATTAAAAGTGTGGTGCTAGCATCAAAAAGGACTGCTCAATGAGAGGGGAGTGCAAATACCAAGCCAAGAATGCAGAGAAACTGTATTATATGATAATGAAAGAAACTGTAATGAATTCTTATGATTTCTGTTGACTCAGCATCCATTTTGAAAATAAATTGGACTTTCTTATACCAAAAACAGGGCTTACTCCTCTCCCCCCAACCCCCAGTTTGTTGTTGTTGTTGTGTGTTTTTGTGTTTTTGTGTGTGTGTGTGGTTTGCTTTTTGTTTGTT